AGGCTGGTCCTGCCACTGCCCCCCCGCCGCTCGCCATGATGATATTGATTATTGTTGTTATTACTTGTTCTTGGGGTTTTCTTGGCAAAATCTCCACAGGGGTTTTGCCATGGCTTTTCTGGGGCTGAGAGAGTGTGCATGCATTTTTTTTAATTTTTTAATTTTATTTATTTATGTATTTATTTATTTTTGGTGCTTCGGCCCCCCAATTGTCTGAGGGACAGCAACCCGGCCCCTGGCTCAAAAAGGTTGCCTACCCCTGGTTTATACGGTTGCTAGTTCATGGTCATCCCAGGCCCTGAGGTTTCCAGAGCTGTGTCCACACTGCAGAAACAATGCTGTTTGACATCACTTTAACAGCCATGGGTCAATGCTATGGAATTCTGGGAACTGCAGTTTGTTGTGGCACCAGAGCAAAGCATTGTGGTGACCCATAGCATTGCTTGACCCATGGCAAAGCTCTGGTGCCACAACAACCTGCAATTCCCAGAGTTCCATAGCATTGAGCCATGGCTGTTGAAGTGGTGTCAAACCAGATTATTTCTGCAGTGTGAATGCAGCCTAGGCCAAAACCTGAGATCTACATGTGGCCTGTGATATCATTAACTGTTCCCCATTAAGCATTAACGGCAGCTGCTTCCAGCTTATTATTCAAATCCACAGATTTGAATAATTCTGGGCAGAATACTCCAGGCTGCTCCTGGACTTTTCTGGCCCTGAAGCTGAAAGTCACTAAATCCAACACATAAATCAGCCACAGATGGCTGCTGCCACACTGCAGAATTAATTCAGTTTGAAACCACTTTAAACTGTTGTGGCCCCATCCTAAGGAATCCTGGGGTTTGTAGCTTGCTGTGGCTCCAGAGCTCTCTGACAGAGAAGACTACATATCTCAGCAAACTACCCATCCTAGAATTCCATCATAATGAGCCATGACAATTAAAGCAAACTGCATTAATTCTGCAGTGCAGAACTTGCCTTGTCTATGCCATCAGATTGCTTAAGGAAGCCGGGCTTGCTGGTCATCACATCAAGAAACCCAAGAGTGCAGGACCTTTACTTTGGTGGCACCATTTCTCTGGAACTATCTCCCATAAAGCCCCAAGAGAATTTTTTTAAAGGAAAAGAAATCACTCTGCTTTTACTCACAGGTGCTGGTTTTTAACTGCTTTAATTTAATTTTTAAATTTTAAATTGTTGGCGTTTCTCACTACCCACCATGTGAAACAATTTTTCCCCATCTGGCCTGAATCTCAGCTTCAGTCAGTGACCCCAGGTTTTATTATTATGAAAAAGAGAGAAAAGGTTTTCCCCATCTACATTTTCTTTCAACTGGCATAATCCTCTGTCTCTCTATTATGAATCTCCTTGTTGTCATTGTGTCTCCTTATGGGGAAAAATGGGGTACAAATCATCATCATCATCAACCAGGGGTAACTGTGTTGGTCATTTAGCAAATTCAAACAAAAATCCACTTAACAGTGATACCTTTATTGCCAACCAAAATGCACAATGTACTGTACTAGGTATGCCACTGGATTAAGCAATAACAGAATCTGGTCAAGATGGCAAAAGATACCAGTGTGGAAGAACACACACACTTTTGCTGGAAGCAACTGGGAAGGGCAAGAATCCACCCGGCCCTCTCCTCTCTTCCCCCCCTCCCACTAACTGAGTGCAAACTACTTTTGTAATTTGGACTCCATTTGCAGCCACTGAAGTAGGCTGAGGACAGAGTGGGAGGAGGAGGGAGAAACTAGGACATTTTAAAAGCAGCTGGAAAAGTAGGATGGCAGAGGATTAATCGGGACTATCTCTGCCTAATTGGGACAGGGGGCAGGTATGGGATAGGAGCCAAACTAGTGGGTCCAAATTGCAAGAAAGGAAATCCTTCCTCAAGATTTGGAAGAACTACTTCATCATAAGAGCTGGTTGATAGCTCATGAATGTTCATAAAAAGAACTGAAATGGCCACCTGTCCAGGAGGGGGGCTTTTTCTCTGTAGAAGTAATGCAATTTGACCCCACTTTAACTGCCCTGACTCCATCCTATAGCATCCTGGGATTGGTAGTTTGGTGAGCACCAGCACTCTTTGGCAGAGAGGTCTCAAGATTGTAAAAAAAATCCCAGGATCCCATAAGACAGTGCTACAGCATTTAAAGTGGTGTCAAACTGCATTGTTTCTACAGTGTCAATGTCCCCTTCAATGCCTCCGCAGTGGATTCCTGTCCTGACAGGTGTTGGGTGACCCTTAGAGTCCCTTTTTGGACCATAGCTCCCAGAATCCCCCAGCCAGATCATGCTGCCTGGGGGATTCTGGAAGCTGTAGTCCAAAAATTATTAATAATCCTGCCCCTACAGTGCTGAATTTTCAGATTTCGGCTCTGATCTCTCAGTTCTGACTACAGATGGACAGCATCTCTGGTTTATGTCGCTGGCTTCCTCTTCCCAAAACCTTCTCTCTCCCTGCCAGCCATAATTTGAATAACCAAGCTGTGACGAATTTATCACGCTAGAGAGGTGGAAACTTTCCACCTGCCCAGGCTTGCTTTTGCCAGTTCTTCTCTGCCTTGAAGCGTATTTTTGTTTGAGGAAACCGAATGAAACTCCAAGGCGTTTCTAGTGTTGGAGAGGAATTAATGGCCCGTTTATGAAAAAGTAAAGCCTTTGCATGCGTGGCATCTGCAACTTGTCATCCGTCCAATAACTGCGGGCAAATGCAAGGCAAAGCAGAAAGTGTCACCTTTTGAACCCAAGCTTTGAGAGTCTTTTGGTGTGAATCCCGGTGTGTTCAGTAGCTCTGCCAGCGTACCACCCTGGGTGCAAATGGGACACTCCCCAGGATTCAGTGTTCCCAAATTCTCTTGGTGGGTCTTGGATCTGATCCCACCACTGTCATGAAAGGCCTCGAGATCTAATGGATCTCTTCCAACCTCAATAGCTGCTGGGAGATTGGCTGGAGGCCAAAGCATTGCAGCGGCCCAGTGGCTTCTGCTGACAGATATCTCTGTATACATGCACACACGCTGCCATCCTGACTCACATACAACCCCACACTATCTTTTTGGCCCCGATCCACCTTCAATAGCAAACTGGGGTTCTGTTCCCAAGACCCACCCTGGACTCCTGGGACAAACAAGGTGTATGTAAACTTAGCCACCGAGGGCATATCTCATACCATGCCGACAGGAGGCTTCTTTGTCAATGCCATGATGAATCCTCTCTGAGCTTTAATCTGAACTTTAAAGCCGCTGCCCCAGATCCTGAACCTATTGTGGAGGAGTGTTCAGTGTTGTGAACAGATCCTTTAAGTTTAGAAGATTCATTCTCCTCAGTAGGGTTGCCAGATCTGAGTCTCCATGGGTCATAAATAAGTGGGAGGCAAGAGTGCAAATTCTCCAGTTTTGCTGGGCTCCGCTCCGGGCAAGAGGAAAGAGCTAGGTGCGCATTGCCAGCTCAGCTTGCAACAGTTTGCAAGGATTCATCTATTGGCTGCTGCAGTGAGAAACAGCTCTCCTAAAACTCTATGCATTTTCTTAGTAAGCTTCTTCCTTCTCTTTCCAGCTGTGGTGGTGCTAGGGCTCACCCTCTGCCCTGCTCTGTATCTACTTTCTGGCTAGAAACAGTAGGTTAGATTAAATGTTCTTTAGTACCAGCTTGTTGGGGGCAATTAGTTTACAGATTGTAAACCACTTTGAGAGTGCTGAGTTCACTGATAAGTGGTATAGAAATGTACATGCTATTGCTATTGCTGCCAGCCACAGATGCTGGCAAAAGGTCATGAAGAAATTCTTCTAGAACATGGCCACATAGCCCGAAAAACCCACAAAAAACTGATTTGGCACTTAATGCATAACTCTTAATGATATTACAAGGGGCCATTGCTAGGTCTCAGGTTTTGGCCCACAAACATCAGGGCTTGTGATGGTCTTGAACTGTCAACTCTAGTCCTCATTGAGATGAGAGATATATAAGTTTATTGATGGCGCTTGCAGGAATAGGAAGGGAAAGGAACAGAACGGCATGGCACAGAAAATCACGGTTCAAAATCATTCTTCAAAATCGGCTGCCATAGCACAGATGGAGAATGGCTTGGGGATTCCTGGCATCAGTGGCATTCTCCTTTGCAGTAATTTGCGTTCTCATCCCATTCCATGCCATTCTGTTGCATTCCCATTCCTGCAAGTGCCTTGTGATTAACTTAATAGTCACCACGATTACCAAATCATCACAGTCACCAGATATCAGACAACTTAAGCCCAATATCCCTGACGGAGCAAAGAGTGGAGTGGAGTCACTTGAGACTCTCAACTTAAGATGGTAACATCGGTTCATCTTTGAAAGCTGGCTGGGCAGTCCTGGTATGTTTCTACAGTTCCCAGAATCCTTCACCTGGGCCATGTTGGTTGAAGCCTTCTGGGAACTGTAGTACAGAAAACAATTTCTGAGCTGAAATGTGTTTGGGAGCTCTCTGGCCCAGTTTGCTTGGCCAGGGTCCCAAGCTGGAACCAGAGCTGCTGTTGGCAGTTGTGTTTGTTTGCTAACACATCTTATTCCGAATAACAGCCAAGATGCTACATTAGTAGGAGGCAAATGTCTGCATGTGGAGTAACCTGTTAATTGTGCTCTGCAATCCTTTTGCACAACTGGAAGAAGAGCCCAATGCATATGTGCATACACATGGATATTGACATGCATATGTGCATCGACATACACATTGCACCTGAATACATGGTGATGCTGCATGCGCCACTTCGCTTCTTCCACAACCTTGCAAATGTCTCACATCAGACGAAAATGTCCGACCACTTCTGCAGGGTGAGGCACCAAGAGGATTCTGGTCCATGGTAATAGCCTGTGATTTATTCCTTTTTCAGTTAACAAAGGTATAACTTCATTACATAGTAATTGTAACCGGAACAAAACTGACAGGTGTAAATGTATAACAGATAAACAATAGCATTACTGATATTTACTATTCAATATCCAACTTAAAGAGGGCCAGCATAGTATAGTGGTCTGGGCATTGGACTATGACTCTGGAGAACAGGGTTCAAATCCCCGTGCAAGTATAAAAACCCACTGGGTGACCTTGGGCAAGTCACATTCTCTCAGCCTCAAGGGAAGGCAATGGCAAAACCCTTCTGAAGAAACTTGCCAAAACAAACAAATCATGAAAGTGTCACCTTAGGGTCTCCATAAGTAAAAAATGACTCGGAGGCACACAACAACAACATCCAGCTTAGAACATCATACTCCAAAAATACCTGTACATCATATCATATCATATGACACAAATTAACAAATCTCTATTGTGCAAATTCTCTATAATGAACATAAAGATTTGTTAATTGCTGTTGTGTGCCTTCAAGTCATTTTCAACTTATACCGACCCTAATGCAGTGAAGCTATCATGGGGTTTTCTTGGCAGGTTTCTTCAGAGGCCATTGCCATCCACTGAGGCTGAGAGTGTGTGACTTACCCAAGGTCACCCAGTGAGCTTACATACCAAACCAGGATTCGAACTCTGGTCCCCAGAGGCATAATCCAAAGCTGAAACCACTAAACCACGCTGGCTCTCTTGAACATAATGATAGCAGTCGTTTAAATAAGAAACAAAACTGTAATTCATCAACAGTCTTTTTAAAAAGTGGCTAAAACATAAATTGTGGGTAAATTGCAATGGTAACCAGGCCAGATCGATTTCAGAATAACCAGTCTTCTTGACAGGACAATGAGAAAGGTTACAACACAACAGGTCTTGGAATTCAGTACCGTACTTCTTAACAAAACAAAAGGTTTCGGTCCTAGGAGTCCTCCTAACAGAGTAACAACAGAGCAATCGGAAAATCCCGGATCCCTATCATTTCCGTTTTGCCACACTACGGCTGCATCCGCACTGGAGAAATAATCCAGTTTGACACCACTTTAACTACCATGGCTCAATGCTATGGAATTTGGGCAACTGTTTTTTTGTGTGTGACATTTAGCCTTCTCAGAGAGCTCTCTGGTGCCACAAGCAAATATAATTCCCAGAATTCCCTAGCACTGGGACACCATCACAGTGGTGTGAAACTGGATTCTTTCTGCAGTGTGGATGCAACCTAGGCTTCTCCAGTTGAGGAAATTTTAAATGTCAATATGTAGTGTTGTTTTTGTTTTTGTGTACTTTTTGAAATGGTTTAGTTGTTTGTTTTTTTAAAAAAAACTTTGGGCTGTTTTAAATTTTGTTAGCTGCCTTGAGTCTCTGTACTGGGAGGAAGGTGGGATATAAATAAAATAAAATAAAATAAAATAAAATAAAAATATGTAATATATATATATAAAGCTCTAACTAAGGTATACATGGGGGAAAGGAGGTTTTTTTGCAATTGCAGAAAGCAAGCCACTTACAATTCCACACATTTTGCTCAACAACAAGGGATAACCTCATTCCTTTTGTGATGTAACTGTAACTTTTAGTTACTTTTACCATTATAGAGGTACAGCCTCCCTATGTGTTGGAGGAGGAGGAAGATCACCTGGTGCAAGTGCTGGTTCATGGATGTTAAGATGACAATGAGGTACACCACTAGTAGAAACATCAGAAACCAAGGTGTTCTGTATGATTTTTTACATCTTTGCCTAATGAAGAAGCCAGCGAAGCTTTGAAAGATTGTATGATGATAGATCTTTTTACCCACCTCTCCCCATGGATCAAAGTGGGGAACAACAACAGATTAATGTATACACAGCATCTGTTATCCACAACATCAGTTCCAGCAGCTTATCCAGATGATTTTCAAATTATGAATTTCAAACATGGATTGTTTACAAATGTGTATGTCTTATTTATCCTTTTAAACCGTTGCACATTTTAATTAATGTGTTTTGATTGATGTTGTGCATTGTTGATTTGTTGTTGTTCTCCACCTCCAGAGAACACACAACAGGAGGGTTTCACAACAAACACAGAGAGAATAGCTGGGAGGAACCGACAACGTAATGAGCTATATATATCACAACCATGTCCCAAAGGAATAAAACCACAACTCTAAGATATATGCAATGATCATATATTGATATGAAGTAACCACATCACAGTAATACTGCAAAACACAGAATACACAATCCAAGGTGTAACTATACATCCCAAACTGCTTCCTCTGGTCCTGACAACCTCTATTCCAGTAAAATAATTTGTGGAAATCATTTTGCTGGAACATTTTGCCATCTGCTGCTTGTGGAAATCATTTTACTGGAACAGAATTTGTCTGGACCAGAGGAAGCACATGGACATAGTTTGGGATCTATAGTTTTCTATAGCACTTTGAATTGTGTGTTATCCGTTTTGCAGTATTACTGCAATGTGGTTACTTCATATCAATATATGATCGTTGCATATATGTTAGAGTTGTGGTTTAGTTCCTCGCCTCCATCCATAAATATTATTATTAGCAGTAGTAGATAAGAACATACACATCAATTTAAGAGAACAAATAAGACACATACATATTAAAACAATCCACATTTTAAAATCATCATTTCAAATTCACAATTTAAAAATCATCTGAATAGGTCTGCCGGAAGAGACTGGTCTCTAATGCTCTTTTTAAAATTCAGACAGTATATTCAGCTGCTGTATTTTGTGCATTGGAGTTGGCTCAATAAGAGTGTTGCTGCTGTGTGCATTTTGGATTTTGTTCCTTTTCTAGGCTCTTGTCTCCCTCGTCGCAGAAGCCATCAAGACCCAGATCCAGACTCTTCAGGAGATTATCCAGCATGAGATCCAGACCACCTTTGAGATCTTGCAGCTCAAACTCCAGAAAAGGGCCCTGATCCTGAACCCGCCAGCCCCTTACCCTCCGCCACCCAGCCCTAAAGCCCAGGAAAAGCAAGGCAGCAAAGTCCAGAAGAAATCATCCGAAAATCAGCAGAAGCGGGAGGAGAAGAAGAAAAAGCAGAAGAAGAAATAAGAAATGAGAAATGAGAAATGAGAAGCAGCAAGGATTTGATGTTCAGGTTCTTCCTGAAATTGTCAGACTTTGGAAAAGTTCCTACAACTCGCAGAATCCCCCACACTGGTTAAAGGATGCTGGGAGCTGTAGTCAAAGAAGCAAACTTTTCCACGGCTGGGGAAGTTTGACCATACTACTCCTTAGGCAGAAGCAGCCTGTGGCTCTCTTGTTTTGGAGCGGTGAATATATTATTATACGCTGAGTTTTACAGGAGGGATAGTTTGGAAGTGAATCCAAAATTGGTCCAGCAAATGGAGTCGCAGTGAAGCCACCTCCTTCCTTTTGATTTTTACCAACTGTATGTTCTCTGTGCTGAGTCTTCTACTTTCCTTATCTTTTGGACTCCATCTCTGAGATGACAAACTTGCATCTGGCTTGTACAACTTGTAAGATAACTCCTCCTCCTTAAAAAAGAATGGGAGAAAAAAATCCTTCAGGGTGGAAGATTCATATATCAGGGGAAAATATATCTAGCTTATTCTTTTTGACATGCTTATATTTCTCTAGGTAGCAGAATCAACACACACATACACACACACTATACTATACTATACTATACTATACTATACTATACTATACTATACTATACTACATACATATATATATATGCAGTATACATGCTTATATTACTCCAGGTAGCAGAATCAGTACTATACTACATACATATATAGTATACATGCTTATATTACTCCAGGTAGCAGAATCAGTACTATACTACATACATATATACAGTATACATGCTTATATTACTCCAGGTAGCAGAATCAGTACTATACTACATACATCTATATCTACAGTATACATGCTTATATTACTTCTGGTAGCAGAATCAATACATATGTATACTATACTAAATACATATATATGCAGTATACATGCTTATATTACTCCAGGTAACAGAATCAGTATTATACTACATACATACATATATATGCAGTATACACGCTTCCAGGTAGCAGAATCTCTCTCTCTATACACACATACTATATTATGTGTGTGTGTGTGTGTGTGTGTTTCTATATATATATATTGATTCTACTACCTGGAGTAATATAAGCATGTACGCTATATTGTGTGTGTGTGTTTCTATAGATAGATAGATAGATAGATAGATAGATAGATAGATAGATAGATGAGTGAAATAGATAGATGGATAGATAGAGTATGCAGTGTACATGCTTATATTACTCCAGGTAGCAGAATCAATATACTACTCTATTGCATACTCTATCTATCTATCCATCTATCTATCCGTCTATCTATCTATCTATCTATCTATCTATCTATCTATCTATCTATCTTGTATGCAGCCCACAAAACCTCCTCCTCTTCCTCCATCCTTACAAATCTTAAATCTCAGAGTCCAGGAACAGATTTACCAGCTCAATAAGAATAAGGCTTACGTCTCTGTTCACAGCGAAAGAAGTCTGTAAATAAAGAAAACCAAACCAATACATGCCTCTAAATGGAAATCACCAGACATGGCTTAGTATTCAGAGACTGGTGCAGCCACACTGCAGAAATAAAGCAGTTTAACACCATTTTAACTGCCATGGCTCTATATCCTATAGAATCCTGGGATTTGTAGTTTGGTGATGTACCAAAGCGAACAGATAGAGCAGGCTGAATAACTCACCAAACTACAAATCCCAGCATCCCATACCATTGACCCATGGCAGTTAAAGCAGTGTCAAATTGCTTTATTTCTGCAGTGTAGATGCATCCTTCCATTCTTTTGCACACAATGGGCCTTGGGATACTCCATTTTGGTTTTTACAAGATGCTCATTGTGGTTTCTGCATCCCTCTTTTCCTGATCTCCTGTGGCAGCTCTTTCAAATAAACTGAATGTTTGATTTTCCTTTTAACCCGTATGGTCTGTGTGTTTCTGCGTGTTTAGCTATGGATCACTCTAAGCTTCCATCGAAGGTTGAACAATCCTAAAGCCGATAAGCCCTAAACATATGTAATTCTATGCTGGAGCCCTTAAAAACCCTGGACTGGACAAATATTTGCCTAAATCCTGAAAACCAAAATTGGGTTTGGCCATACCATCGTATTTCCAATTTCTATGTA